GAAGTAGAGATAGAAGAAGAGGTAGAAGCAGGTCCCCACATAGAAGATAAAGATATTATTAAATTTTAATTTTTATTATATTTTTAATCGTGTATTTTATTAGTTTAATATTAAATATTATAAAATAAATATTTACATACAAAAAATCATATTGTCTTTATTCTTATAAATTGTTTAAATGCTGAAACTCTAATTAAATCATATAGAAAGTATTGCCGAAATGCCGAAACAGTTTCGGCAAGTTACGGCAGTTTCACGATTTTGATAGGTTTCACAGTTTCGGCATTTCTTGATGATTTCGCGAAACTAGTTTTGGCAGTTTCACATACGCCATTCTGCCGAAACCCTCTAGTTTCGGCAAGCAACCTTAATTATACTAATATGATTAATCAATCAATTGTCCTTTTTCCATTGCAATTATCTGCAAAAACCTTTTCATTACCATTTGTATAAGTTCCATATGTCTATATGATTCATCAACTATGTAAAGTTCAAGAAATTTCTCTAGCTAAACTAATAAAGCAATTTTCTAAGGTTATAATAATTAAACTGATACTTATAATTGAATACTTATGAGTCAAAAGTACTAATAATACTAAAAGTAGTTAATTAATATAAATAACTAATAAAACTAAAATATATTATAAGAAATGTTTCATATTGTAATTAATTCAGCCATAATCATAGAATTTCTGTGTACTACATCATGTATCTTCAATTATTTTTATGAATAACCTTAACAATAATCTTTAATTAATTCTATCTTAAGCAAAAATTATAGTAACACTAACATACAAACCATCCATAGGTATTAAAATGTCTGAAAACTTATCTGAAACAAGTCATTGGCATGAAGAACTTGTTGTGAAAGAAAATAGTGTATCTAATTCCCAAATGTCTGATACAAATTTCACCTCAAAACCTGAAATGATGAATAATAATACTGTTGAAAGTCCAGATCTCGAAAGCTACGCTAAAAAATTAGGCTTTAATTTTGCAAATAATAAAGATGATTTGAAAAAATTTTATGGTATATATAATATATAACAAATTTATTTCAGCTTGATTACATTTTTACTGACATATCTTTGTTTAGACTTTGCTGGCCCTGACTTCATTTGGCCATCTACAATGACTGAATATGATTGCCATGATATTTTTTATTATATTACTGATTCTGAATGGGACCCAGTTGGAGAAGAGGTCGCGACAAATACTATCGCATATCATCGTTTAATCGAATCTGAAGCTTTTAGAGATAAGCCAGAAGGAATGCATGTATTAATTGTTCATGGAAAAGTTTTAAATTATTATGAAAAAGATGTATCATGGGAAGAATATGAAGAACTTGAGAAGAAATATCCAGGAAAGTATTTTGCACCCATCACTGAAAAGACTGTTTTATTGCGCAGATTCTTTGCCAATGATGATACAATTAGGAAAGAATGGCAGGTGAGTTTATAACTTATACACAATAGGTCACTGACAGATATTGTTTGGATATGCTTTATATTGAATAATGTCTGCCAATGATCTAAAAATGGGTATTACTTTGCCAAAATAAATATATTAGGTAAACATCTGTCTTCAGAGTACAGTAAATGTATTAAATGAGGCAAGAATGGCAAGTATCGATAACGGGTTTTGTATGGTTATTGATATGGGAGCATCAATGACAACCATACCATTCTTTTTAAGACAAATGTTACAAAGCTTCTATAAGGGTTGGAAGACAGAACATATCACAGCAACTGGATACAGTAAAGGTATAAGACTTTTTCAAGCTTCAAGACCATGGTTAGTCTGCATTGGCAACAGAAATAACTGGTCAAACTGATTTTGAATACAGGAGATTTTTTCATGGTAAAGAGATATCTTAAACAATATAGACTGTGGTTTGATGGATTACGAAATTTTCAATAACATTCCACATTATAAACCTATTAGAAGTCCCTACATCTTTCTGAATGATAACAGTATTTTTAATTGATTACAAGAGTTTGAATAACTATTTTTTCTTTAAATATATCTGATTAAGTTCTGTACTAAGAAATCAGGCTCTCAATACCTTTATCCTAATGATTAAGTTGGATTTTTAGAGCCTTATATCTGATTTATATAAAAAAAAAGTTCTTTTGTTTGTTATTTATACTATTATGGGAAATTACTTGTAATATATATCAACATTAGAACATCTGCAAAGTGATGTACTATATATATATGTTAATAAAGTATTATTTGATGGTTTGCATACACCAGACTTTTGCAAATACAGTCAACTCTCTTTATAGTCACACATTTGGGACAGTCCATATTTGGTGATTATAAAGAGATGTAACTATATAAAAAATTTCTTATATTAGTATATAATAATTCCGGCCAAAAATTAACATAATTTTGGCCAAAATTATACTTAAAACTTTATTGTATCGTAACTCCTCCAATATTAATCGTAGAGAGATGATCTTACCGCCATTCGATTCGTCTTGATGAGACGGTTCTAATGGTATAAAATAAATCGAAATCCAATCACTAGATTAATTTCCGAAATTAAAAAAATATTAATGGTTTTTGTGTAATAACTCTGCCAATATTGATCCTAGAGAGACGATCTTACTACCATTCGATTCGTCTTGATGCGACGAATCTAATGGTATAAAAT